TCGCTACCAGAAAAAACAATGGATTTTGAATTCTTTGACGTATCTAAAATTGCCACTCCCAATAAATTTTCACCAGTCATTACACCTTTGAATAACAACAATAATAATAACAACAATGTTGATAATGTTCCTGAAAACACTTCTTCAACCAAAGATAAATCAAAACTTTTGGACCCTGACGAATATCTCAAAGGCGATGATATGGAAGAAGACTTAAAAGATTTCACAGTTGTTACCAAAGCTACTCCCTTTGCAGTTGCTAGTCATATAAAGCTTATACCCAAAGAAAAGAACAACAACAAAATTATTCTCGCTATCAATAATGTCTTTGCTCAAAATGACAATTTTTGAGGAGTTTCAGTTCGTCGTGTAAATTTGATGCATTCTGTAATTGTCTATTTTGCGATGTCAGACGCAGCTACCGCAGCCTTACATGTGACTATTCCTGATCTCAAGATCAACACATTCTGTGACTTCTCCCAATACAAAGCTGATATGCAATTTAACGAAAGAACTATTCATGTCACCGATATTCCTCTACAAATGAAGCCTGCTAATATCAAACAAGTTTTCACCAAATATGGATCTATTACCAATTTTAAAATGATAGTAAGAGGTATGTGGCAACATGCCTACATTACTTACGAAAATCCCAAATGCATTGAGCTATTTTATCAAGTATGGAGTCATTTTGTTCAAAATGATTCCGTTCGTGTCAATCCTTGCTCTTTGTCTTCAGAAGAAATTAAATATAGGAATACACATCACATCAAATTAACAAATCTTCCTTTTGGTATCTCTGCAAGAGACCTACATGATATTATTCTAGCTACTAAAGCTAGAGCTAGTTATATTCCTAGATCCAACAATTATAAGCCTCGTCCTTTTGTTATTTTACACTTTGAAAATGAAGAAGCTCTCAACCATGCAACTCAACAAAACTTTGCTTTTGGTAACAATCAACTAATGTGGTGTTCTCCTGATGCTAGAAGTTGTCACAAATGTGGCGATCCAACTCATCTTGTTATCAAATGCCCCTTTTTACAAAAATCAGTTACACCAAATGACAATGAAGAACCTATTAAACCAAAAACACTTACTCAAAACAATTCAATGCAAAGACTCTACAACAAATACAAACCTGCTGGCTTTAGAAAATTTGTTGATTCTAATCGATCAAACCGTTTTTCCAAATCTTATTCTGAGGCCATCAAAAACAAGAATACTACACTACCTCTACCACCAAAAAATGTTATCAAACCAACTGTGAAGGATTCTATTCACAATCTGAATAACGAAATCAATAATAAATTAGATCAGATCCTCTCAATTCTATTCAATATGAAAAAGGATATGAATGAACAGGATGCTAGAATCGCCAAGCTGAAATCCCTTTAGGCTTCTTCTCCAATTACGTCTACAGTAATTCCTTCAACTATTGTTAGTAATAGAAAAGATCCATTAATAGTTTCACACGTTTCTCAACCATCACTAAGATCACAAGATACGTCTAATAAAAGATTCTGTATTGCTGGATCTTCAAGTGATGACTCTTCAACTTCACCAATTTTGACCTCAAAACCTGACCTAACTAATATGATGAATGAACAAGCTGCTATCATTGCTGAACAAAAAAGACAGATAGACAGAATGTTCAAACAGATCGAACGATTCGCAATAGATGCTGGCTAGTCTCAAAATATGATATACCCATTTTTTACCTTCTTTAAATGATTAATACAACGTATAATACTTTGTTACCTAAAATGTTCCCACAAATTTAATTAATAATAATAATCAATTTCTTCCTACCTATAATAATGTTCCCCTCCTCATAAGTTACTTTCATCACGTGATCAACTCACCCTTATTATAGATAATGACTTATAAAATTCACATAGTGATAATAGAGAATTAATTTTAAATAGAAACACCCTCATCTTTGCTACTCATAATGTACATTCTCTTTGTAATGATGTTAAAAATAGCAAGATACTAGAGACTTTTCACCAAAAGAACGTTAATTTTGCTGCTTTATCGGAAACCTGGCATCAATCTTCTCAATCTTTTAGATATTCTTCTGATCCTTTTTTTGATACTTTATGGAGTTCTGTTACTAACAAGTACTCAGGTGTTGGCTCACAAATGAGTTATAAAAACTTACAAGAGAGTTATAGACTTGCAAATGAGTTAATTTATAACTAAAGCAAAAAGCTATTCTATTTATACAAAATTAATTTGCTACGGCTAACTAGTTTCTATGCTATAAACTAACTAAATTTGTAGTAATATAATGATAATAATAATAATAACAAGATAATAATTATAATAGAGATAATAATAAAAATAATTATAATAATAAAAATAAGTATTATAACAATATTCCAACTTATAAGGCTTATCAGATAAATCCTAAAAATCCTAAAAATCCTATGGATCCAAAATTATACAGATCTTCTAATTTGTGATCAACATAAAATTATTTCTAGTAACTTCTGTAGATCATTTGATAATTCTTTGTAGATCAACTTTTCAATAATGAATTTTTAGTCAGTAATAATATATATAATCAATTTTCTTATTTTGTTTTTTTTTAATTATTTTTTTTTCTATATTAAACAATTTTGATCTTATTTATATAAATATTGCAAACATTATTATTATTATTATTATTATTATTATTATTATTTAATATATATTGCGAATATTTAATTATTTTTATTTTTATATTATATTGTGAACAATAAATTTAATTACTAATAAAAATAATTTCTAATAAAATAAAATTTTTTACTAATTTTAAGTATAATAATAATCATATAATAAATATAACAAATAGTTTAGTATAAATTTACTGAATTTTCTTATTATAATGAATCATATTCTCTAAAAATTAAAATAGGCTATAGAAAGTTTCAACCATATTAAAATATTAGTAGAAAATACTTGTATATAAATTTTAAATCAAATCAAATATTTGAAGATTAATTTGTATTTGATCAATAAATTCTTTAATTTGAATTTAATCAAATCAAATCAAAGATTAATTCATATTTGATCAAATAAATTTTTCTTTAATTTAAATTTGATTGAATCGAATCAATTATTAATTTGATTTTGTATTTAATTTGATTTTTAAATCAAATATTCAAATATCAAATCAAATTGTAGAATCCTAATAATAATATTATGATTAGCAAAATAATTAATTTTGTAATGTCTGTATGTTCATTCTATTTTCTAACTAAAATATTTTTTTATATTTAACATTATATCCTAATATTAAATATAAATCTAATTAATAGATTTTTGAGCTTATAATGTATCATATGTTTATTAATATTAAGGTTTTAATCATTTTCTTCTAATATGACCTTAATTTTACCTGCTGTAGTAGAATAATTATATTGCAGAATATTTCGTAGTATTGATTTAAGACTAATTTTTTTGGACAGCCAGAAGAGTGATTAATTAAAATATTGCCAGTTTTATTTAAAAAACTGATATATTATTAATATGTATACAAATGAATGTATAATCATTTAAAAATTTCCTTTACATTATGCACATTTTGGTTCCAAAGTAACTTAATTTGTTGTATTTCTAAAGGGTTTAACATATTTTCTGAAAAAAATCAAAATAAAAACAAATAACAAACCTTATTTTTTAATGCACCTTTTAAATTAGGATTTCAATGTCTGATTAAGACATATAATAAATACTTATATCTGCAAAATGATAAATTTGCAGCCTAAAAATAGATGCAAATTTTACGCTATTCTTTTCACTAAAGACCATATATTATAAGATTTAATGATTAGAATTAAATCAAATTTTATATAGCTATAACATATTCTTAAAATATAATATATCAAATTTTCATTTGACTTAAATTAAAGAAGCTATAATATAATAATAAATATATAATTTAAATTATAAATTTAATAAAAAAAAATATTAAAGATATTTTTTAAATATCTAATGATTCAAATTAAATAAAATTTTAATATATAATAAATAAATATATTATTTATAAACTATCAAAATTTGAGATGATTTAAATTACTGATTGTTAAAAATATTTATATATTTAATGTAAATAATATTCTATATTAACAATAAATATTAAAGTTTTAAATATAATCTTATATATTAGTTATCTCAAAATTAAGAAGTCCAAATTAGCTCAAAATTTTGATATTTTATAAATAATATATTTATTTATATATATTAAAATTTTATTTAATTTGAATTATTAGATATTTAAAAAATATATTTAATATTTTTTTTAAAAATTTTAATTATCAAAATATTTATATTATTTATGTATTACTATTTATATAAATAACTCAGTTTTCACCAATTTATTTTAAATAATATTTTAATATATTATATATACATAAGGTTAAAATGAAAATCAAAAAATCGTAATTTTTGACTTTAGAGGTTAAAGTTTAAATAAAAAGTCAAAATAGTCGAAATGATGTTATATCACATAATTTTTTCATATAAAAAAATCTATAAAAATAAAAATATACAATCTTGATCAATACTATTCTGATTTATATATAACTACTATCATTCGATTCCTTGCGACTAGTCAAATTTAATGAGCTAACATTCATTAATTTCAGATCAGCCTATCTCATGATATTTACGATTAAATTTTGAAATCCAGATCTCTTTATTTATAGTAGAATTTATTAATTTATAATTTCAGCCAATGATATAATTGCGATTAACTTATGATTATATAATCTGAATATTGATTGAAATCATATATTTTTGTTTTTATTTTTCTCAATATGAAAATCATATACTCTAACGTCATTTTGACTATTTCATGACTTTAGCTTCCAATAGTCAAAATGATTTTAACTGGAACTGGTAACCTTATCTTAGTTGGTAATAACTGAAATCCTATTATAAGTTATACTGCAATAAATCCTAGTTCAACCTCTTGTTAAAGCAGATTATGATATTAATTTACTATAAGATTTATCAATTCAATTCTGGAAATGTATTTTATAGAATATGTATAAACTATGTATATTAAAGATCACAAATTTGTAGAATAAAATGACCATTTGATAATTGTTTACATGAAAAATAATAGCTTTCATAGCATAAACTATGTAAGTTTACTTTGTCTACAATTATCCTAACAATAGATAATGGTGATAAGTAACTTAAAGCATAGTAAACTGATTGAGTTTGAAACCTAGTCAAAAAGTTGGTTTGTAATAGACAAGTGTTACATCTGCAAAGAGTACCTGTGAGGATAGGATTAATGGTAGGCATTATATAACTTGGATTAAGCAATATTCGCAGGTTATAGGTGGTTGATATTGCATTATCTTTACCCATTATAATGCTTATATTACAATTAAAGTTTGAAGACTTGAGTTTAATTTTTGGGATGATTTTGATATATAGTAAGGTAACTATAGTATAAGCAATCATTTTAGGTTATTCTTGATCCTCTTTTTAGTAGTTGTGATGAATGTGAATGATGACGAATATTAAAGTATTCTACTATGAGGTTTAGTGATTTAGCAATCTACTTGGTAATGATACCTATTCATCTAAGTTTAATACAAATTTACACTTGGTTGTAATATACTAAAGAGGTTATAATATTAATTACATATTATAAGTCATATCATTCTGTTAAAGAATATGCAGCTAAGCTTTATTACCAGCATGTGTCTAGTAAAAGTATAAAAAAAAATAATTTTGATCAGGAACTGACAACTCTAGCTTAATTGGTAACAACTGAGATTTTATTGTAGATTATACTATAATAAATCCTAGTTCAGCTCTTAGCCAAGGCAGATTATAGTATTAATTTACTATAAGATTTACTAGTTCAATTCTGAAAATAAATTTCATAGGATATGTACAAATCATGTATATTGAAGATCACAAATTTGTAGAATAAAATAATCATTTGATAGTTATTTACATGAAAGATGATAGTTCTCATGACATAAGCTGTATAAAATCACTTTATCTACATACTACCCTGATAACAGATAATAGTGATAAGTAACTTAAAGTATAATGAACTGATTGAGTTTAAAACTTATGTTAAGAGGCAAGTCTATAATAGATAAGTGTCATATCATTTGCAAAAGATATTTGTGAAAATAAGATCAATAGTAGGTATTGAATAACTTAAATTGAACAATAGTTATAGGTTATAAATAGTTAATATTATATTGTCTTCAACTATTGTGATACCTATATCACAACTAAGGTTTGAAGTCTGAGTTCGATTCTTATGGTGATTTTGACATATGAGAGGTGGTCAGTAGAAAAGGGAGAAATCAAATTTTGGTCAAAATTTATATTATTGAACTACTTGGCTGATTTCGATCATATGTATAAATTTAACTTAATAATAAAAATTAACAAAAATATTGGATTTCCTCTTTTTCTACTAACCACCTCCTATATAATAAGGCAATTATTGTATAAGCTATCATCTTAGATTATTCTTGATACTTTTTCCAGTAGTTATGATAAATGTGAATGATGACAGGTACCATAGTACTTTACTATGAGGTTTAGTGATTTAGCAGTCTACTCAATAATAATATCTATTCATTTAGGTTTAATGCAAATTCACACTAGATTACAATATATCAAAGGCTTATAATAGTAATTATATATTGTAAGTTGTACCATTCTATTGAAAGGTATGCAGCCAAACTTTACTACCAGCATGTGCTTAGTAAAAGTATCAAAAAATAATGATTTTGACCATTTTGATCATTTGATATACGAAATGATCCATTTTGACTTTATGTATAATATTATATCTTAAGATTATATCAAGATAATATAAAGATTTGAACTAATTCTGATCATTGTATTATGAGAAATACATGTCAAAATTAGTGTTTAGAAACTTTTGGCTAAGGTCTATAATATCTTCAGAATAGTATTTAAAGATAACAGAATTGATATTTTTAATAATAATATATTTTTGATTAATCAAATATTTAGATTTATAACAAAT